CCAGCCAGCCAGCCAGCCAGCCAGCCAGCCAGCCAGCCAGCCAGCCATCCATCCATCCATCCATCCATCCATCCATCCATGCATCCATCCATGTGGGCCTGCCGCACCTTTGAGTTGATCTCAGGCCAGGAAATCCGTGGACTTGGGTCGATCTGTCTGGGGTGCGAGGTGGGGTAGATTCCCCAGGAGTACCTGTTGCTTGGGTGCTGATCTGCCCGGTATGTATATAGATGTTGCTGCACCAACCTGTTCAACGTAGGGGTTGAGGTGCAAAGACAAAATAACGGCAAAGCCCAAACCAGCAAACTGGTAGTAGAGGAACTCAGTCAAAACGGTCGTGACATTGAAGGTGCGACATAATGCGCAAACCTAGTTTGCAGGCCGCCACCTGAAGCATAGCACGAACAGCGGGCGAAGGGTCCGCATCAAAGGTGATCCAACCACTTTTGGCAGTAACACGAGGCTGACGGACCCACCAACCATGGGCAACATTGAAGGAAGCTTCAATTTCTTGTCGAAATGAACGAAACTGAGGGCACAAGGCCCAAAAATGCCTCATGGAAGCATCTTCAGCTTTGCAAAAAGGACAACTTGTGTTGTTAAAAGGCATATTAGCACGTCGTGTCGGGGAAGTGGCAGCACCACCCCGAAACACAGAGAGTAGTAGCTTTTCCTTAGGATCAAGAGTAGCTTTCCAATCACGCCAAGTCTGATGAGAACTGGCATCAATGTCGACATCAGTGATACCTTCGGCGTCAAAACGAGAGCGCCGAACAGAAAGCAAACATTGATATCTGGCAGCTAATCGAAGGGCGTGCGCCCCAGCTTTGCGGTCCACTGTAAAAGTCCAAGCATCGTCAGACCAAGTGACATAGGGTTCAAGAACACGAGTCAGGCCATCCCGAACGGAGCGAAGACGAACAGTCACCCGACAGGCATCCCATGAAGCGAGCTGGAGATTTAACTCAGCAAGATGGCTGTTGATAGCGGCTTGTAAAAATTCCGAAGGAGGTTCTGGGAATCGAAGGCAAAACATAGCACTACCCACAGCTGCGCTGAGAGCAGGATGTAAATCAACGCGGTCTGCCCAGAACCGGCCGGGGCACCACCAATTGCATTGAGTGTGATTCAAAAGAGCGCGTCGAAAAGCAACGACAACGTCAGAAGAAGGCGATTGGAGCAAGGGAAGGGCCCAAAACCATTTGCCTTTGAGGAATGTTCGGACGGCCGCTTCACGAGTAAGCAGGCCACCTGGTAATCGCGCCAACAAGGGCAAAACTTCAAGTATAGGAGCCCAGCCATTGCGGAGACATGGTAGCTCGCCAGACAAAGGATCAACGGAGAGACCAAGATGCCCGGTATGTATCCAGACATTTGTCCAATTTGTTCAGTGTTCGTGCAGGTTTTTCAGCGTTTGTTGGTCAGGTTGGTCAGTGTGGATGGCACCGTTGTAGGTGACTAAGGGAAAATGCTCCATGTGTTGACGTTGAAGCCATTTCCTCCGTTTGCCAACAGTAGATGCTTTGTTTTGCTTAACTGTTGTTGTGCTTGTTCAATGTTCGTGAGCTGTCGGTCCAGGGAGGGGAAATGGACCGTTGAAAGGCCCAGGTCAAGCAAACGAGTGGCCCTGCAGAACCAATTGTGTTGTTTGTGATGCTGCATTGTCCCATAGGTCCTCCGATCGTGTGGTGAGACCTGTATGTGTCTGGTGGCAAACTTTGGTGCTGCCTCCTGTGGTTTGCGTTGCGAATCTTGATATTATACAGAGGAGTCTTCCTGTGGAGGGATCATGGCAGCATTTTGGAAGTCTCAACCGCTCGGCTTGATGGTACAGTTGCCATGTATGGTCAACCGGGCTTCGCTTCTTGTAGGGCTCTCGGATCTGTTGATCTCCACGCGTAGCGTGGCGAGCCGTATTGTGTGGCCGGGTGTTCGGTTCGATTTGTGGCTTTGGTGGAGGATTCCTCTGTGCTGGTCCTGTTTCCATTTCATTTGCAGGCTGCATTGCAGCCCTTTGTGATTGGAGATGTTCTGCGCCGTATTGTTCAGTATGTGTGAGGTCACTTCGGTTACCAGATTTGATCAGTGGTCTCTTTGCTTTTCCTCGTGGTTTGTGCTTGTTGGAGGCTTTCCGTCATGCAAGTTAGCCGGTCAGCCGTAGTTTGTATGTGAGCTTGGATCGTGTTGAAGTCTCCTGTCCAGAGCCAAGGCCGGTTACCTGCATTAGCCTTGCGTGCCATGAGGATTTCATTCATGAGGATTTCATTCGCCGTTGTCATAGCTTTTTCATGCTTTTTCTATGACCAGTGGTTTGGGGGAAACATCACTGTTCAGAATCAGCCAGCTGCCCACCTCTATGGCACAGAGTCGCCCGGAGTCTTGTCGCCGGCCAGAGCTCCTCCCCCATCGGGTTGGTACGGTGCGGATGCTTGGCTTTAGAAGCAGTGGTAACCAGATGGCTGTCTGCGTGAGATGGCGTAGAAGCTTCTCGTTGGCACTGAGGGCAGCATGCGGGCAGCCACGCCATGCATGGTTTGAAGTTCTCGTTTTCTCGGCGCAGATCGAAGGATTTGCTGTTTGTTTTTGACTTGAATTCTCCAGCTCTGCTTGTGAGTTCAACCAACACATCTCTCCAATCCTCAACAAAATCCGGGTGATGGCACAGCCTCGCGCCTCGTGGGTTCCTTGCAAGGCCAAGAACTACCAGTGCACGAACGACGGCACCATGACGCCCAATTGGGATTGCACCATGTGGGCGGGCTTCGGCACCACCTTTGCCTACATCCAAACAGGCCGAGCGACACGGCGACTGCGGCGTGGCAGCCGTGGGAGACCCAGGGCGGCGCTGGAATGTACGGGGCAGCTGTGGGGGCCCGTGGGGGCGCCAGAAAATGGCCTCTCCTCTCGTACCATGAAGTATCTATATACTTAGAGTATACTGATACTCAGTATACCATAGTATACCTAGTGGGCCCGGGCTGCCTGAATTGCCTTCAGGCTCATCCCACCAAGTGAGACAGACCACTTTTGGAGCAGATCTACGAAGGGCGCAGCATCTCAACGCGCTTCAACTTGGTTTGTAGGCCCTTGTTGTTGCATCTCTCAACCATGATCGTTTTTCAAGAATCGCATTGCTGGCAAGACTCAGCACGTCGTATTGCCAAGTCGCGCTGATGTAGATCTGGGTGTCACCCAAAAAGTTCTCCCCAGCCGGGGGTATCCGATGGTCAGGTTGCTCCTCGTCTTCCCACTGATCCGACTTCGGATGGATCATCCGACGTCTTCAGGATTTGACGGCGCCATGGTACCAAGTCGTCACGAAGTACGGTCCATCCATTCGGACGATGTCTCATCCATATTGGATGTGTTGAACACCATGAAACGCCATGCAGCAATGCAAAAGAACAGACACCTTGGTGCTTCTTGGTTTCACTGCCAGGCCTGTATGGGCATGCTCAAGCAGGCACGACCTTGGCCATGTCGAAGAGAGGTTCCGGGTCACTTGGACGATGGAAGCGTCGACCGACCCACGGTGGTGGCGAAGTCTCAGTGAGCAAGTCACGTGGTGATTCGATCTGTCACAAGGAGTTCATTATAGTTATAGTACGCACATCCATTATAGAAGAAATTGCTTGAGCCAATCTATTTGAATATATGTTTTGATATCTATAATAGTTTCCCGTACTGTAATTGATGTATCCCGGTAGGAATATCCACTACAGAATGTAGTTTGTGTTGAGTTTTTTTTCTATATTTTTTCGGGAGGGGTAGGGTCCTTTTACTCAGCACAGTCTCTGGCCACCGGCATGTTATAGAAAGAACATTGGCCGCGACAGAGAGGACAGATCATGGCAGACAGAGGGATAGAGAGAGAGAGAAAGCATGAGAAAGCTTAACTGATCGAACTATAATATATACAGAAAGGAGCGCTATATATAGTAATAATACTAATAATTGGGGTCTGTCCTATTACCTGTAACAGTCAGTAAACAGTTCTCACTATTGTTGGACAAGGCCTTTACTAACCATCATCATCCACTGTTACAGGAAATAGGACAGACCCAAATAACAATAATAACAATGATAATAGTAATAATATATAACCATACTATGTCATATGTGATCATATATGATTACTATAATCTATATGCATTTCAGTATATTATACTTATATAGATTGATGGTGCCCAACCTTCCAGCATCATTTGGACCCGTTTGGGGACTCTCTTGATTGCTTAACATGGAATCATATGGAATCCATGAAATGGTTTGAGATGTGTTGAGAAGGTTCGTTCCATACCCAGACACTCCACGTATGGAATCGAATATATCGAAGGAACATGAGTGAATACATGGTGCCCCGCCCCCGGGGATAAAGACTAGTCACAACCTTGGATGGTTCCGTAGTGTTTGGCTCTAGGGCGGTTGATGACCTGTCTCGGGTGCCATAACCGCCTGAAGTTGGCAGTGGGAACCTCGGGGCAGTGCAATCCCTGCTACCTCGTGGACCGGATCCATTGGGTAGTTCAGACCAGGTACCCACCGGCCAAAGCCGAAGAGCTCACGCACTACCTGGCCAAGGTCCTGAATACCCTCGAGGCTGACACCGAGGCTTTCGAGTCTGACCGAACGTCAGGTTTGGTGGATATTGAGGGATATTTGGTGGAAGTGCGAAAGCTGGACAAGGCTACGCTGCCACCAAAGCTGAGCGCGGGGGTACACCCTGGACAGCGTGATCCGCAAGCTTCATCAGCGGGTCCGAGCAAAGCAACAAAGGAAGTTGAGACTGGCGGGGCATCAGAGACCTGGCAAGCAGAGGCGGCGCAGGCGAGAAGACAAGGCAAGGTCTCGCAGCCGGAGCCGGAGACGTGAGCGAAAGAAGCCAATGAGGGAACCTACCCCGGAGCCTGAGGAGGAGGTCGCAACAGAGGCAGAAGTAGAAGAAGAGGAAGCCGAGGCGGAAGCTGAAGCAGAGGCTGAGGTAAAGGACGAGGAGGTCGACGAATCACCTCACGACGACGAGGCCAGCCCGGACACGGAGGTTGCCAGAGATCCGGAGGGAGCAGGACTTCGAAAGGTCCCGCCAAAGCCCTCAGCGAGGAAACCATTGCCGAGGAGGCCACGTACTCCATCAAGGTCACCACCAGGTTTCCGTGATCGACGACCCCAACCGGCGAAGAAGTGGAAGGGAGTCAGACACATCATTCGGGGGCAGACCCTGGGCTATAGCGACTACGGACGACGTCCGAAGGGAAAGGGAAAAGGGAAATGGCACCGAAGATGAGGAGACCGGCAGCGGCCGCAAGGCCCGACCGAAGGAGGAGAGGCATACTTCGACCTGCAGCTCATCACGAAGATGTCGGAGCCCCGGGGGAAGAGACCCTGGCGTGGGACCCGAGTGTGGGCGATTTGGTGATGGCCGAGGGGGCACATTACTTCGGCGCTCCCTGTCGCTTCACAGGCCGCATTCTCGAAGACTCGAGGGACGCTGCAGGACGCCACCTGGCCATTCGACTTCATGGCACCGATCACGAACCCCTGCTGACGTGGGCCACCGGGACGTCAGTCCCAGCCCGCGTGCACCTTTGCCCCGAAGGGTGTTCGAGGGAAGCAGAAGGGCCAGGTCTACTACACTGCAACGATCTCCGCAGCATCAAGTCCTTAGAGGAGCTAGTCGGAGTCCCTTGGCGAGACGTTTTGTTGGAGGGACGACCCAAAGCAGAGGACGAGCTGGCAGGCTTGAGGTCGAGGATGGATGGCATCGGGGGACCAAGCCCTGGGGCAGTTGCAGCAGCCGCCGAGATCGAGGAGAAGGAGAAAAAGGAGAAAGCAGAAAAGGAGAAAAAGAAGTCAAAGAAAAAGAAAAAGAAGAAGCGAAGGAGGGGCCGATCTTCAAAGTCCAGAAGCGAGGCCTCGAAGAAGGAGAAGGACAAGAGAAGAAAGAAAGACACGGGGAAAAGCCCTGGCAGTTCATCCAGCTCAACGAGCAGCTCATCCACCGTCGAGTTCAAAGCGGTGACGCAGGAGGTGCTGTTCCGGGGGTCAGGGATGGACCCAAACGCCCGGACTCGAAGGAAGCAGCGCCGTCGAGCTCAGCACTTGGCCCGGCGGTCTCACCACCAGAAGGACGAAAGCAAGTCAGCATCGTCGGACGACGGGGGAGAATTGGCCCTGAAGGGGGATCAGGTGTTCGGCGAGCCCCAGAGGATCAGAGGGATCGCTTTGCAGTACCCCGGCGTGCTCAGTGCACTGGCGATCGAACAGATGCAGGACCTGCTGGTACAGGAGCTAGGGCAAGATCGACAGCGAGAAGGTCCGTGGAGCGCGACATTTCTCAGATACTTCAGACAAACTCTCTTCCGCAAAATGTCAGGTCCGATGTGCAGAGAAGCCCAGACGCTCTCGACAATAGGCGATCAATTGTTGAAGGGCATGGTGCTGGGGGCACTCGACACCCTGACCCAGCGGCTGAAGTCGCTGGAAGCGCAGGCCACAGGTCTTGCGTGGACGTCCTCCCAGAGGATGGAATTATTGCCTCCGCAGACGGGGCAAGCCTTTCATCGAGGCAAGAGTTGTCGATAGCGGCAGCAGAGCATCGTGCGGAAGTGAAGGCCCATCAAGCAGGGGCCTGGAAGGACTGGAGCAAAGGAAAGGGAGGAAAAGCAGAAAAGGACGATGGCGCCAAGGGAAAAGGAAAAAAGGGAAAAGCAAAGCCCAAGAAGGATTAGATGAGGGAGGTCGCTTGAGGAGCCATGGCATTATAGAAGAGGACAGGACGGGGCGGGAGTGCCCTGGGGGATGCAAATTACAGCTGGAGCAGCGCGTGACTTCTGATGCTCAGGTTCGTGATATAGACAGTACAGCCACGAGCCTGAGGGATCGGGGGTTGAACCCTGCTCTGGATCATGGAGAGGATGATGAGGCCTTGGGCGCCCAGATGAAGCGGCAGACCGATGGCCTAGCTGGAGGAGCTTCTTCAGCATACCGCACTACGACCGGGGGAGGGCACCCTGGGGAGGCAGAATCGGAGGATGCAACATTCCCTCCACTGCCGCCAGGCAATTTTTCATTGGCGGAGCCTACCAGCAATCAGCCCGAAGAGACAGTCGATGGCTATGCAGGTGGCTTGAACGCTCCGGGGCAAAGCCCTGCTCGACTCGCCCAGTCGGGAAAAGGACTGTGTGGCAAGAGGCTTTGGGAGATGGGGGGAGATCTGGTAGATGTCTTCCGAGGGGTTTCGTCGCTCTGCAGCCAGTCCACGGCGAAAGGGGGGGAACCTAAATCTTTAGGACCTGGGTGCACCTTCCCTTTGCCTGCCCGTCGGAACCAGATCGCCCACGTACTCAAAGCCGAAGAACCTTGGGTCATTGATTGGGTACTCGCTGCATGCTTGGGTTTGAATTCATTATGGGGCTGCCAAGCCGCTTCACTGCAGGATGGGGACCCCGATTCGGAGCAGCAGACAGTGTCAGAGGCGCACACGCGTATCCTCCTGTCGATCGCTCGGGACGTGACTCGGCTGGGGGGAATTGATGAGGTGACTCAGGACTTTGAATGGAGCTCTTTTTTCAGGACGAGGACCATAGACTATAAGGGGGACGAGGTCAAGACAGCACAGCAGTTTACTTGGAGGAATATTAAACCTGCGATACCCCGCGAGATCGGAGTGGTGGATTTGAAGGATATCTGTGAACAGGGTTGCAAGCGTTACATCGAGCATTTCCCCGATTTCCTCAAACCACCCCATGAATGGGAACAGGTGCGTAAAGCTTCGGGGTGATCCCTGAATCGGAGGTTTTCCGAGTCCGTGGCAGGTTGCTGCTAAACGGACTTTTCGGGGTCGAGAAACACGAAGAGGTAGAAGGCATTCCTGTTTACAGACTTATTATGAACCTCGTGCCACTCAACGGTTTATGCCAAGGGCTGCACGGGGACATCGCAACCCTGCCGCATTGGTTTGGAATGACACCCTTTCATATTGAACCCCATGAATCACTGGTGGTATCGAGTGAGGATCTACGGTGTTTCTTTTACACCCTTCGTCTGCCTAGTTGCTGGTACCCCTACTTGTGTTTCAACAAAGCCCTGCCACCAGATTTGGTGCCAGCTGAGCTTCGGGGCCAAACCTGCTATCCCTGCTCGAAGGTTTTGCCCATGGGGTTTGTGAACAGCGTGGGCATTGCGCAGCATGTTCATAGGGTGTTAGCCTTGCGGTCTCAGATTCACAACCAGACACGCAGCAGCCAGTCACACGAAATACGCAAAGATAGAATCCTACCCGAAGGGAAAGCAGTGTGGCGAGTGTATCTCGACAATTATGACCTGCTGGAGAAATACCCACACGAAGTCTTGGGCGACATTGGTGAGGAGGTCGCCCCCGAGGTGATGGCCCTGAGGCAGGAGTACCAGGAATGGGGACTACCACGGCACCCAGGCAAGGCGGTGAGCAGGAAGGCACTAGCTGAGGTGCAAGGAGCGGTATTGGACGGTGAACGGGGCATTGCCTACCCAAAAGGGCAGAAGCTGTCAAAATACATCACAATGCCTACCAATTGATGGGCGAGACGCATTGCTCCCAACGACAGATGCAGGTGGTGTGTGGAGGCCTGGTGTATTTTTCTACATTTCGTCGGCAACTTCTCGGAGGGCTGAACCTCTGCTGGGCGTTCATTGAATCGTTCAACGCTTGTGGACGGCGCCGACAACTTGTTCCCAGTGGGGTCAAGCTGGAGATCATCCGCTTCCTGTGTCTCGTTCCCTTGTGCCGCATGGACTTCCGACTGAACCTGAACCCTAAGGTCACATGCAGTGATGCTTCACAGCACGGTGGCGGTGTGTGCGTGGCCACAAGCCTCACCACCTACGGGGAGAAGGTAGCCCTGGGTGAGGAACGCCGGGATATGGTGACCTGTGGGGGTCAGCGGATCCTAAGCATCGGGCTTTTCGACGGCATAGGATGTCTCCGTGTCGCTTTGTGGACCTTCTAGGTTGTGACGTGATAGGGCATATTTGCGTCGAGAAGGACATCGCTGGATGAAGAGTTGTGGAACACCACTTCCCGGACAGTTGGCACTATGAGGATGTCGCGGAGATCACGGAGGCCGATGTGCAGAAATGGGCGCTGCGCTATGGGCAAGCGTCGCTGATCCTCATCGGTGCTGGGCCACCGTGTCAGGGTGTCTCGGGGCTCAACAGCCAGCGCAAGGGCGCCCTGCGGGACGAGCGGTCATCCCTGTTTGTTCATGTCAGGCGTTTGCGCCTCATGGTTCAACAGTTTTTTCCATGGGGACAAGTTCATTGCTTGATGGAAAGTGTTGCCTCCATGGACGATCGCGACAAGGACGTCATGTCGGAGTCATTCGGGGATCGGCCCTGGGAGATTGACGCCGGCACGCTTTGCTGGTCCACGACTTTATTGGATTAGTTGGGAGCTCAACCCTGACGGCGCGGATGTGGACATCGCAGGGCAGCGCGTGACACTCACGGGGCACCAGCCCTGGACAAGTTCTGTTGAGGCTGGTTGGGCAAAAGTAGACGAGAACAGACCCTTCCCGACTTTTACCACCTCGAGGCCGCGGACAACTCGGGGACATCGCCCTGCTGGATTGGACGCGTGCGACCAAAGCACCATCAGTCGTTGGGAGGAGGACCTCCACAGGTTCCCCCCTTATCAATATATCCCTCGCAACTGTTTGGTCAACAAACGCGGTGAATACAGGTTACCAAACATCCGAGAAAGCGAGTACATGATGGGGCTACCAATAGGATACACACAGATGAGCATGCCGAAATCCATGAGGAAGCACATTCACTACCATGACAAGCGGCTCACCCTGGTTGGCAATGCCTGGGCAGTGCCAGTAGTGGCATGGCTTCTTGGACAATTGGTCGGACCACGCGGGGCTGGACCCTCGTTATCACCGGCAGAAGTTCTATCTCGCCTCACGTTGGAAGGGAACCCCTTTATTCAGTCCCGGCTGATGCGGCCCCCTCTTCAAACAGACCAACAAGCCAGCGGAGTCCCAACGGAGTCCCAGAGGGAGCTCTGGTGCAACAGTTGGGCCGCCTGGTCTCTACTAAGGGATCAGACTTGATGATCACAGCGGCGCAGGATGAGGTACAGAGCTACCAACGATTACGACACACGATCAACGCAAAGATGTGGCGATGGAGGGTTGTCTCAGGGTGGAAATGGCGCAGCCAAGGTGAACATATCAACTCCTTGGAGCTGAGAGCAATCTTGGCCTGCCTCCGATGGAGATGTGAACACTTGGGAGAGCACAGCACTCGCATCCTGCACCTCACCGATTCATTAGTTTGTCTACACAGCCTTACGCGCGGACGAACATCCTCCAGGAGGTTACGCAGAACCCTTTGCCGAATCAACTCGCTTCTATTGGCACACAATGTTGGAGCCCTCTGGGGCTACGTGCATACTGACCTGAACCCGGCGGATAAACCGTCGCGGTGGTCAGTCAGGACCATGCCAAAAGCCGTACTTGAGGGAACTACCCAAGCCAGTAGAGCGAAAGAGAGGCAAAGGTTAGGAAGTCTGCGCGGGCTGACAGTGCAACCCGCCACTCGCATCCGATATGATCGTGCTTTGAATCGGTATCTCGCTTTTCTCAAAGAGGAAGGCCTAGAATTGCCCAGTCGGCGCAGTATGCTAGACCCACTAGTCATGGAATACATAGAACACCTATGGCGCACCGGGGAGGGGCGTGGTCTGGCCGCCGACACCCTGGCGTCCTTAGGACTTCGACGCTAAGATACGGGGGCAACTCCCTGGCGCTGGCGCCTGGTGAAGACGTGGGTCACTCACGAATTGCCCAATCGGGCGCCGCCCATGCCAGAGAGCATCCTCCATGCTATGGTAGGCTGGAGTTTGTATCGTCAGTATTTCTCTTTTGCCACCAGCCTTCTGCTGTGTTTTTACGGCATCTTACGCACAGGAGAGTTGCTAGATGTTACTAAGCGTCGGTTGGACATTTCGGACAGCTTGCGTGTCGCCGTTGTCAGTCTAGGCATGACCAAGGCCGGTAAGAGGGCCGGTGTCCAGCAGAGTGTCACTGTGGGCCATGATACTGCTTTTCGATACTTGCACCAATGGAGTCTTTTGGCAAGCACCCACCAACGTCTCTGTCCGCCAGCAGCCCGCTGGCGCAAGCTTTTCAAAACATGCGTTGAAGCTTTACACTTGGAACCCCTTGACCTCCGACCTTATTCCCTCCGAAGGGGAGGGGCTACATGGTGGTTCTGCCAGCATGGGAACCTAGATCGGGTAATGCTTCTAGGTCGGTGGCAGGCCCAAAAAACGGCCCGTTTATACCTGAATGAGTCCAGAGCAGTCCTGACAGAAATGCAGCTAGGTCCTTTTGAGCAGTTTTTGGCACCGTACCGAAAGTTTTTTCGAAATTCCACCCCCAAGTCCTTTGAAACACTTGAGCCGCTGCAAAGCAGCAGGCCGCCCGCCGCGAATCGTCGGCTCGGGGGACGCGGAAAGAAGGAAAGAAACTCCTTCAAACGACCTTCAAGAAGCTCGTG